TGTGTTTTACCAGTGACTTATATAAGTTACTGTTGGACTGTTCAACACTGAATAATAAGTTTATAAGTTACAAATCCTAACGAGAGCACGTGCTTCCTCTGTCCCCCACTTCTTGGTTACGTCATATTATTATAATGTCTGTCTGTGTGTACGTTTTCTTTTTTCCTTTGAGAGTGGGCGTAAGAGACACAACGGACACAACACTCGTTAATTTCAAATATTTCCTTATAACATTCTTAGCGGTCACGTCTTGTGGATTTTTAAATCTATAATGAAGCATTCGTTAATTTCAAATATTTCCATATAACATTCTTATCTGTTATGCCTTATAGATTTTTAGATTTATAATGAAGCATTCGATGATTTCAAATATCTCCATATAACATTCTTAGCTGTTATGCCTTATAGATTTTTAGATTTATAATGAAGCATTTTTGTCTTTTAAGATTTCTGTTGAAAGCAAAGTTCTTTTCATGAAAGACATAACGCCAGCTTTCTTGCTCTTTGTCATAATTTTTTGTATGTTCATGGAAATATATCCCAAAATGTAACGCCTACAAAGAACCCGGTTTCAATTTTTTTCGTTCTTATTTTACAAAGAGTATACGTGATTTTTCTCGCCTTCTTGGAATTAAGTGTTCTGAATGGAGAAATGAAAACAGTTGAAAGCGGCGTGGGATGGTGACTTGTGAGACTGAGTATATATGTGAAAATGTCTTCGATATGTGTGTTGTATGGACACGCACATCAATATTTCTTTATGTACTGTATCAGTTGTTTTTGTTGTATCATATATATATATATATATATATATATAATATATATATATATATATATATATATATATATATATATATATATATATATATAATATATATATACATGTATATTATGTATATGTATATGTATACAAACACACACACATGTATGTATCTATATGTATATATGTATATGTGAATATATGTATATATATGCATATATATATATATATATATATATATATATATATATATATATATGTATGTATGTATCATGTGTGTGTCTGTGTCTGTGTGCGTGCGTGCGTGCGTGCTTGTGTGTGTATGTGTGTGTGTGTGTGTGTGTGTGTGTGTGTATGTATATATATACATATATATATATACATATATATATATATATATATATATATATATATATGTTTGTGCATGCGCGTGTGTATAAACATATGTATACATATGTGCGTATGCATTTGTGTGCATGCATATGTATTCACTAACGTTTTTGCTTGCATGATGTGTTTGTTTTATCTTTCATATACATATTTCATACGTTTATCAGTTGCTTTCCTTCCTGCAGAATGATAAGAAAATTAATGAACAAAGTAGTAAAACATAAACATCCTTCACATTTCTCATAAAATTTTATGAATGAAATAAATCCTAAAAAGTTACCCTTCTTACCACCGCAAAATATCTACTTTTCGACCATGGAGCTATTTATTCTAAATCAACCTTTCCATTGCAAGGATTTTTTCAGTTTTCTTTCACAAATAAAAAGAAAAGAAAAAGACAGAAGGGAATCCTTTTAAGTTCTTTCCTTAGTCTCCAAGGCAGTATCTTTAGTCTCCCGGCATCTGTGTTGACAGAGTCCGAAGCGATAAGTTGCAAGGAAACAGCTGCAGAAAAAATCAGTGTTGAAAAGGATCCAAAGAATGAGCGATTGAGAATAATTCACAAGAAAGAAACTGCAAAAAAAACTATGTTGAGAAGGATCAAAAGAATGAATGAATAGGAATGATTTGCAAGTAAATAACTGCAGACAAGAATTGTTGATAAGGATGTGGGACTAGGGTATAATTTAGTTGTGTGCGCCCATAGTTAGTGATGTGTTTCGCTATCTATGCGAATGTAGATTTGTAGAGGCATAAGCGAGCTGAGAAACAGATGGTAAATAGATAGATGAATACAGATAAATAGATGAATATAGACAGGTAGGGAGATTTTATAGAGAGCCGCAATGAAAGTGCGAAATCTCTACGTAAACCCAACCCCACTTTCATTTTTCATAACTGTTTACGCCAGTGTTTCCCAAACTTTTTCGGATGCGACCCTAAAGACAGTCTTAGCCTGGGCTAGCGACTCTAAATGTGTGAACATGCAGTAATATATCCAACCATTTTCATGTTAGTTATACTTGCAGATGTATATTAGCTTTCGTTATTATATCCTTTTATAGGTTCATATTACCAACACATCTAATTTCAATAAACAAGTGTTGATAAAAAAAATCGTTAACTTTACTTTTAACCCCAGCTATGGACTCTTTTATTCTTCTTTTAAGACCCTCTGGCGACCCTTAGAAAAGCCCTGGTGACCCTCATTTGGGTCGCGACCGTGAGGTTGGGCACCGCTGGTTTGCACGATAAGAAAACTGGATTGATCCCGTTTACAAATAGATGCAGATGTGACCGGAAATAACCAATATGATTTGTGTTTATTTTTATTTTCTATTTACTCTGAGCTTTTAGGTACACTATGATAGAGTTACATTCACTTTTTATAAGGTTTATTTGGTTTACAAGTCTGTATTCAACAGTGATTTTTGAGCTAATACACCGCCTTTTAGTAGTAATACGATAATGATAATAACTGTAATAACGATAATTGTAATGAATAATCACAACACTAACAGTAGCAACAGCAAGAATACTATTTACAAGAATTATAACGATAATGATATTGATAATGATGAAAAACAACAGTAGTAATAACGATAACGATAAGGCAATAAAAACCAACAATAACAGCAATAACGATTATAACAATGACAATTACACACAAATAATAATTATGTGATAAAATAATAATATAGTAGTAGCATATCATGATTAAAGAAAATTATGGTACATAATAATAACAATGATAACGCTAATAATAATGACCCCACAGAGGAGATGGA